CCTTATCCAAAGGGGCAGCAAGGGCCTGGTCTCCAAGCTGGGGAGGAGACATGTAGCCTATGGAGTAATTCCCTTAAGGCATGGACAGCTTGACAAAGCATTTCCTGCTCCTTTCCACTGACTAAGGGCTCTTCTTATGCCAAAAAGACAGAGGTCTTCATGGGCCCTTAGCTCTATGTGGGCTCACATGGAAACTGTGCCTTCAGAGCTCCCCATGTGTTGAGAAGCTGACCTGGATAAAGTTTGCTGACCTTCGTGGCTATACCTCTTCTTACCTACAACTTTCACATTGCTCTGTAGGGGGTAAAAGGAGTGCTGAGCATCCTTTTCAGGAAGGTACTTCCCACGTCTCCAGCAAAGGCCCTGTGATTTTCCTCCAGGATGAGCTAAGACAGGACACAGCCAAGGATGGCCTTGGTAAGTGTGGCAGCAGAGCAGGGGAAGGGGGCTGGTCTAAGGCTTTTCTACAGAAAGCCTGAGCCCCTAAGGCATCCCTCTGCCTCACTGGGAGCATTAATTGGGGTGTCTCTCCCCACAGGAGTGGCTGTGCATGCTGCAGCCCCCTGGGCTCTGGGATTTACTGCTGTGGCAACTGGGACAGCTCTGTGTGTGGTGCTGTCGTTTCTGTGCTGTGGCAAAAGGTGTCAGCCATGCATGAAATCACTGCATTGCAATAAAGTCACTGTCAAACCCATTTAGGTGGTGGTCCCCCTTCCCCTGGAGACCCTAGCTGTAAGACTTTATTTGCAAGGAAAAAATTACTTCAGTGGATGTGCAAGATTTCCAAATGCTCTGAATTCATCTCACTCTGGAATTCTTCTGCTCTGGGTTTGGTGTTATCTGTCTGCCTTGGTCAAAGTGGAGACCTTGTCAAGGCCTGGGCTGCAGATGGAGGTAGGATTGGTGCAGGGTGGTGTTAGCATTTCTGTTAATGAATATAGTGGCTTTCAAAAGTAGTGACCTAGGCTTCATTCCACACTGAGCAGAAGTGCAGCAAAGCTCACTAAAAGCAGAACCTGCACCTGCTTCTCTGGAGATGTAGAGCAGGTATATTGACTGTGCTGAGGAATTGGGACTTGCCCACTTGTCCCTAAGTCGCTTGGTAAGTTAGGGCTGGGCTCATGTGGCAGGACTGGAAAGCAAGGATGCCAAAGCATTATACCAATGGGCCATGCTAATGATGCTGTGCACGAACTTGCCTTTCTTGCCCTAGAAACAGAAAAGGGTAGGTGGCATTTTTCTGGTGAATGAGAACATGAACACTTCATATCAACTGGAAAAAAAAAAATAAAAGGGTCTTGGTGGTTTGAAATTCAGGAGAAAGAAAAAAATCAAACTTCATTTAGAGCTTGCTCTTAAGCCTTCATGTGACACCAGGCAGTTAGGAGTCTTCAAAGGTCTTGGATTAAAGCTAATTTGACATCATTGTTGGCATAAAAGTGCTTTTCTTAATTTTTAACTTGTTTCTTTTAGATGAGAAAAAAAACTTGCCATTTTGAGCATCAGGACTGGTCCAGTAGGGTGTTTCAGTCCCAGCAGCTGGGCAGCATCCCTCTTTGGCTTTCTGAGGTCCTGGGAGAAAACAGTACAGCAAAGCTCTCCCGGCAGTAGAGGGGAAATGGGGCTCCACCCCCTCCTTCCTGGCAGCCTGGGGGTGCTCTGGAGCTTGCACTTACACTGAGATCTGTTTAGTGCTTGAGGGGAAGGAAAACTGCTTTTCCCTCTTTTCCTCTAAGGCTTGATTATAAATTCTTCCTGTTAAGGGCAGGAGAGAAGCCTTAATTGTATTGCTTTGGGGCTTTTAAAAGGGAGGAGCACTAATATGTGGAAGCAAAGAACTGATAAATGGCTTGCTTGAGGTAGCAGATGTTGTTCTTCTTAATTAGGTTCTTGTTGATCCTGTGTGATTGGAGGGTGTTAACGAGTGGTGGGATCTGTGTTAGAGTTCCTTTCCTATTCTAAGAAACTTCAGGAGTAATCTTGTGTTTTTATTTTTCTAGTAGAAATGCTTTTCCCTCCTTCTGTCAGTATAACCAGTGATCATCATCTGGCATGCTTTCAAAATCTAACCCGAAGAAAAGACTGCTCCAAACTGTATGGTGGGAGGAAGAAGAAGAACACAGGCTGGGAAAAAAACATCTTCTGAAGACAGGTCAAACAGCCTCTTACTTTGGAGCAGGCCTCTGGCAACTAAATAACCTTGCTAAAGGTGGAGCTGTCTGGGAAAGTCTGCCTCATGACAAGTCTTTAGTAGCAGTCTGTAATGTTAATTTACTGGGCAATTAAGAAGAGTAATGTAAACCACACCTACTCAGTGCACCTGGCAGGGTGCTCTAGCACTGGTCTTAATTGTGTGTGTGTGTTTGTGTGTGTAAGCCAAGATCTAAACACCTCCTGTTTGCTTCCTATGCCTCAGTAAGTGAAACAGAAATATTTGCTTAGAGAGCTCGGATGACTCTGTGGATGCTGAAGGGGCTGAGAGAGTCAAGTCTCTGCTGCCCTTTGTTGGGTTACTGAACCATCCCAAAGTGGCAAGGAGCTCTGGGTGTGTGTCCTATGGGAATTGCATAGAGCCCCCTGCAGGGTGCAGAGCTGTGTGTAGGATGCTGGTATGATGCTTAGTGTAGGATATGTGCAGTGCTAAGTGGAGGTGGGCGAGCAAAGGAATCAACTTAATTTCCTTATCCACTTTGGGGAGTCTTCTGTGTTCAAGGCTTGCTACTTGGTCCTCAGCTGGCAAGAAGGCTGTGAGCAGCAGTGAGATGGGAGTTATTCTTCTGAAGCACTGGTACAGGGTGAAAGGCAACCTGGAGGTTTCCTCCTCTGTTGCACGGGCCCTGTGTTCATCGTGTTAGTGGCTCTCATGGCTCCTGTAATGCAATATTTGCTTCTACAAAAAGTGTATTCTTTCCTTTCTACCTTCACAAATGCACTTCTGGCTAACTTGTTTTCTAGGCCTCTCTTTACTTGAGGCTCATTGACTTTTCAACATGACTTTCTTTTGAATACCTGTGTGTGACTTCCTGTGCCACCACCCTCTTTAGCTTCACGCCCTATCACCTGGTTATACAGTTCAGTTAAAGCTGTTTGGGGGGTGCTGTACACAGTGCCTTAGATACCTGCAGGGGAAAGGAAGCTGCTCTGTCCAGGAGGGTGCTGCTGGCTGGGAATCAAGGCTGAGGAAGAACAGCCTGGAGGCCAGCTAGGATCTGTCATTTGAAGCTGTTGTGTAGTGCCGCTACTGAATCCAGATTTTCAGAAAGGAACCCCAGTGCTGAGCAGCAGCACACTTTATCCCAGTGCCTGCATTGACTCTTCTTGGAAGTGCTGCATGTGCTGCCTGTCTGTAGAAGCAAAGTCCAGAAACAGCACCTAATACAAGGCTGCTCAAAATGAACACGTATGTTTTGTCATGCCTGAACTTTCAAAAGGCTCTCTTCACCCTCTAGATCTTTGAGAACAGTACCTGCTTTTTTGCCAAAGCTAAAGAAGTTTTTTAAAAGTTTGGAAGTTACAATTCCTTTCTTGACTAGCTGTGCTCACCTGATACCCTAAAAGTGTGGCAGTTGCTATACTACAAGCCAGGTGTTCATTTATCAAATATCTGAAAACAATTACCATAATAGTGATACTTTTATTAAATTTCTTATGCTTGGATTACAATAGATCCTGGAGTAGAGAACTATACAGTATGTTACATGTTATAAATACATTTATTTCTGAAAAATACATGGACATATTTAACATAATGCTATAATAAAGAAGAGTGCTAGTTTATCTTAATAAAAAAAAAAAAAAACAAACCACAAAACACCCAACAAACTTATACCATGAATAGAGAGGGTTGTAGAAAATACCATTTCATGATGCTATGTCTTAAAACACTTTAAATTCAGTTTTCACTGATTCACATTCTGTACAGTCACTGTAAAAAAGCTGGAGGGATAATGGAGGATGCAAGTTAATGCAGGATTTTTGTCCCCTGTATTTATGGAGATATATACAGAATATTCACAGAATAATCAAGTCATAAATCTTTCTAGCTTTGGATGAAGCTAGCAAGATATACAGTGAATAACCGAGTCCTGCAGCAGCAGCTACAGCTGAAACATTAAACACAGCACCTACTTTAGGGTGCTAACCTTGGGTCAACACAACCTTTTTTTTTTTCTTTTAATGGGGATTTTTGGTTTGAGTTGTGGGGTTTGGTCATTGTGTTTGAGGGGTTTTATTGAGATGCTAACAATGGTAGCAACCAATCCTTCTGAACTCTGCCCTCACTCACCCCTGCAAACTCTCCTGGTCCTGGAAGGGCATGGCTGAGATGCTCCAAATCCCAGAAAAGATCCTGTCCTGGTTTCAGTGGTTCCAGCTGATGTGGATGAGCAAGGGAGAAGCATCTGTTATGGAAAGACTAAGCCTGCTGAAGCTGATAATTCCTGCCAGCTTGTCAAATCTTGGTTCTCAGGCAAGTTGGGGTTGGGGAGGGATTTTTAATCAGCAATTGCTTGACTTGTAATTATATTGTCATTTATGGGGTAGAACAATCCTTTATCAAGAGGCAATGTTAGTTTACTTAAATCTTTACCTCACGTGTATTAATTATTTTGCTAGTACCAGTAAGAGCTAAGTGTGCAGAGACTGCTGCAACCATGGGACATTCAGAAGCTTGCACTGCCTGTTCCTTGAGTCAGGAAGCAGGGAATATGTGGCAATAAGGCAGCCACCACACAGTCATGGTGTTACACAGTTGTTAGTGTATCCAAAAAGAGCACCAGTTTGTAAAGGATGTATTTGAATTTCTTTCCCTTGTAGCCTTGCTCTCCCCAACTTTTCCCAGTAGAGGAGCACAGGTGCAGCCATACAGCAGCATGACTGCTCCACCTACAGCCTCAGGCCCCCACCTGCACAAACAGAGCACT